GCAAATTGCTCACTCGTCAGAAGTGTGGAAGTGCTGCTGGTGCGCGTGTGCGCTATCTGCGAGAGGCATACGCGAGAGCCCTGCTGGGCAGTGCAGTGGTGAGGGAGGAAGGAAGGCGGCCATAGCCGCATAGCTAGAAGTAGGGGGTAAAGCCAAATGACAGTGGATGTATATTCAGAGTCAAGATCCTCGAGTAGAGAGAGGGGGAGAGAGAGTAGAGGAAGAGAGTGAGCTCATACATGACGAAGACAGGGAGAGAGAGAGAGAGGGACAGAGAGAGAAGATAGTCACCTACCTTGGCTGAGGTTGCTGGAATTGGGTCGCTGGACTCTGCGCTGATGACCGCTGGTGACCAGAACTCTGAAACTGCTTACTATGATAATTTGTTGGAATTTCTGAGCTGCGCTTATCTGGACTTTGCATCTCTGGTTTCTAGTGTGGGCTTCGTGTAATCTCTCATTGTGTGTGTGTGTTCTCAAGGTGACGAGCAGTGAGGGTCAAAGGAATTCGTATCGGAGCAGATGCTCGCTGCATCCGCTGGTGGTGAACGCTGTCAAGATTAAGGCCGGCGAGATGAGATTGGGAATCTGACATAGGGGCCGAAGAAGAAGTGGCCAGGTTCGGGGATGGTGATAACGTACCTGCATGCGAGGAGCGCCGAGGAGCTTCAACAAAGGAACATTCACAAGTGAAGTGCATCGCCCCCATAAGCCCTGTATTTGCTTTGATGAATGGATGATTGTGCAATGACTTGCTGTTTTCTGCCGCCGGTGACCCGTCGACCCGAGGCTGTTACATAGGTAGGTTAGATTCATTATTTTGTTTGGCTGAGGGCTAACCGAGAGAGCTGCCTGTAAGGAAAATTCGTGAGGGACATATCTGCAACGACGGGAAAATATAGACCCGCACTAACTATAATTTCCTACAGCTACCCTAACTGCGAATGGTAGGCCTGGGCTACCCCTAGGGCGGACAGGCCCTAACGGCCTATTGCAATAGACGGTCCTATAGCCTATAGCCGGGTAGGGAGAGGCCCTAGAGGCCGAAACTGAAATGGTACCGGTCGGTCCAGCCAGTCTGGTCTAGGTCTAGGCTAGGGTAGTGTAGTTCTATCAATAGATTGTAGGAATCGGTTCAGGGCTTGTGGCAGTTGGTATCGTGTACATCGCTGTTGCGCAACGCGTGAACTGCAGTGGTGACAGCTTCAGCATTGGAGGAAGAGAGACATAGCCAGACCTGTTGGGACCTGCGCTCTTCTCTGACAGCACACGGGGCTATTCAGAGGTCTGGGCTACCGGGAGTCTCCTGGAGGCAAGAGAAGTTGGTGCCCTGCTGAACCCTCCTCAGGAGTAGGGTATCAGGGTGTGTGGCGCTGCAGCCATAGCTGCAACTTTTCATCCTCAGAGATCATCCTTGTCAGGAGAGGTGGCGCTGCTGCAGCCTTCCATCCGAGAAGTCTTCTAGCACTTCATCATCATCAGATACTGAGGCACTGGTCTTCTATTTCATCCTCTGAGAGGTGCTTGACCTCAGAGGCCTGTTTCAGGGTGGCGCTTTACTCTGGAGGCAGTATATGGGTGGCGCTTGATGTTTCACGGACTCAGGGGTGGTAATAGCGGTTACTCAGGGTTGGGGAGTGAAGTATTGCTCATCTCTGAGCAGCGCACCATGGTTATGGGGTTATTTTGGCATTTCGAGACTCAGGGTTGGGGAGTGAAGTTATTTTGGCATCTCGAGTTTAACAAGCAGTGTGAATGCTGTGTGTGGACTATCATTGTTTCCTGGATGTGATCTACTTGGCTTTCCTTAGTGACTGGTTGTGAGGACTCTGTGGAGCGAATTGCACTTTCAATGTTTCCTGTCATATCGCATGGACAAGTCTTCCCCTGTGTTTATCTCTCCCTGTGTGGTGTGATACTTCCATCCTCTCCCCTTCCTTCTGTGTATGTATGGGCATACCTGGAAGTCTATGTGAGCGAGTGTTGGTCTTCTGACAACAAACAACCAGGATCATAACAGTTGGTTTCAGAGCGATTGGATCCAGACAGTGGAGTAACTGATGAGTTGGAGCAACTACCATCATCTGTCAAGACAATGGAGTTGAACTTCAAGGCGACTTGTCATCTTCTATGTTGGCGACAGTAAGGGTGGTGGTGGTGAGTGTGTGGGGAGAGGTATTGGACAGAGGGTGATGCACTCCTGTTTAGGGTTGTACAGGAGTGAGTGGCGATTGATGCTCAGAGGCCTGGGAGGCTTTGAGTAGGCCGCCTGGGCCTTGTGCATCTGTTCGACAGCCTGCTGCATCAGTTGCTCATATCGGTAAGCAAACTCCAAAGTCCCTGGTGCAGCAGTTGAGTGATTCTCAGGTAGTAGGAAGTCCAAAGGCAGTCTAGGCTTGAAAGTCAGTAGCAGGCCGTTCGGGCTTTCTCCCGTTGCGCTGTGCACTGCGTTGTTGTACAAACTGGCGATGACAGCAAGCTTCTCATCCCAGTCTACCTGATTCGGCTTGATGCAATGCCTCAGCAGGTGTTGTACAACGCGATTCAACTGCTCTGCCTGCCCATTAGCTTCAGGGTGATTGCCTGATGTCATTTGCAACTGCGTGCCCTGTTCTGCAGCTGCAGCTTTCCACAGTTCACTAGTGAATCGCACATCCTGGTCACTAATGATAGACTTAGGCAGTCCGAAGTCTCTGACCCAATTTTCTGTAAACAGCTTAATGACGTACTCAGTCTTTGCTGTTTCTGGCATTGCAACTAATCTAGCATACTTACTAAACCTATCCACAATGACAAAGATGTGTCACATTCCACTCTTGCTGGTGACCAGTGTGTCCATGAAGTCCATGGAAAAGGCTCTCACCAGGCCTTTCCGGAATCGGAAGGGGCTTGAGGAGCCCAACAGGGGCCTGTGTGCGCGGCTTGTCTCTCTGACAGACCTGACAAGTCTCCACGTACAGCTTGGCATCTCTCATCATCGTGGGCCACCAGAACCGCTGCAACAGATTGGCTGCAGTCTTCTTAAAGCCAAAATGTCCGGTGGCATCATGACACTCACCTAAAAATAAACTACGCAAAGACTCCTGATTAGGAACACACAAACGTTTATTCCCGGCCTTCTCAAGGAACAGCAGGCCGCTGACCAACTCAAACTTGGTTGAAGTCACCTTGTCCTTCACTTCGAGTGCGTATGATCTCAGACATGAATTGATCCTCGCGATAGGCTTCCACCATTGAGCGAGTGACATCGTCCACAAGCCCAAACTCAGTGATCAGCGCACCAGAGAAATCAGGTCTACACGACAACGCATCGGCAACATTGTTGTACTCGCCCTTGATGTACTGGGGCTCGAAGTCATACTGCTCTATGACTTCAATCCAACACTTCAGAGCGTCGGAGAGCACCACTTCAGGGTCTGATGATCAGTCCTGACGTAGAAGAACCTCCCTAGGAGATAGTGTCTCCAATGGGTGAGCGCCTTGTAGATCGTGTAGAGCTTCTTCTCATAGGTGGACTTAGCCAACTTCTGAGAGGGCATCTTCTTGGACATGTACTCGACAGGCCTCAACTTTGGCCCCTCCTGCTGCGCTAGCACGACACCAATGCCATATAGGCTGGCATCCGTGGTTACTATGAACGGCTTGTCAGAATCAGGAAGTTTCAAGACCTCATGATGCGTCAACGCATGCTTCAGGTGTCTGAAAGCAACCTCGCATATGTCTGTCCACTCCCATGGGGCGTCAAGGCGGAGCAGGTCCGTCAAAGGGGTGGCAACTATGCTATAGTTCTTCACAAAATTGCGATAGTAGCCGGTCATCCCTAAGAAGGACCTCATCTCAGTCACAGACTGAGGTCGCGGCCAATCACGAATGCTAGCCACCTTCGCGTCATCGGGCTTCAATCCCTCCGTGGAAATCTCATGACCCAAGTACAAGATACGGGTGCGGCCAAACTCACACTTCTCACCGTTAATCTTGAACTTGTGTTGTCGAAGGAGACTAAGGACTTTGTCCAAATGAGTCACGTGCTCCTCGACGGTCCTACTAAAGATAAGTACGTCATCAAGGTACACGATGACAAACTTGTCCAAGTAGTCATGAAAGATCCGATTCATAGCGTGTTGAAAGGTGCCAGGAGCATCGCAAAGGCCGAAAGGCATCACCACAAACTCGTACAGACCGTACCTGGTCTGAAAAGCGATTTTGTGTTGATCCTCGGGCCGGATTGCAATCTGATGGTACCCGGACTTCAGATCTATCTTACTGAAGTACCGACACCCTTGCACTCTATTTAGCAAATCGTCTATGCGTGGTAGGGGCTCTCTATTCTTGACAGTGATGGCATTGAGGCCCCTCTAATCAATGCACATCCTCAAAGTGCCCCCTTTCTTTGGTACGAATAAGACAAGAGAACCATAAGGAGAGACACTCGGCCGGATCCACCCCTGCTCTATGAGTTCCTTGAGCTGTTAGCGAAGCTCGTCAAGCTCGCCTGGAGACATCCGATAGATCCTACCCTTCGAGGTGCTAGACCCTGGAATAATCTCTATCGCATGGACGACCTCCCTCTCAACAACCCCTGTCCGCTCTTCAACTAGATCAGGGTATTTAGCAACTACTCCCTCTATCTCCAGCGGCATTTTCATCGGCTCGCCTGCAACAGAGACAAACTAGATACATACCCTCCTCATGATCTTCCTTATAGTAATTATAGAACGCGGCCGCATACATGCACCCGTAGGACTCGATCAGACTACTAGCCTTAAACTTACGTAATATGGCGGTCCCTCCACCTGGCAAAGTGTGTTTGACCACTTTTCGGTCCCAGTCAAACTGGGGCTGTGCCACAGAGAGGTAATACATACCTAACAAGATATCCATGGGGAGATCATCGCTCACAAGGAACGAGACACGATGTCTCAGTTCCCCTCCTGCGTACGGGAAACAACACTCAACATCCTGGAGGTAGTTGTTGACTACCATGTGCTGTTTGTTGGCACAGGTCGACTCAGGCGCTGCACTTGCTCCTGTAAGCGCAGCCTCTCAACGCACGCTCGACTAATGAAGTTTTGTGTCGAGCAAGTGTCATAATAGGCCCCGGCCTTGCGGCCGCCAATGACCACCTCGCTGACGAACATCTCACCCTTAGGGGCTTTGACTAGTGCCATCCAAAAAGCTAGTGGGTCCGATCTAGACCACTCTTCCTCTAGCTCCTCTAAGGACTCAAACACATTCATCGAACAGAGGCTCGATGGGTCTGAACGTGTTTGCGGGATGACGATGGAGTCAGTAGCTTGGGCCATCTCTCGAGATGGTGAGGCTGTGTCCACCACCCCGACCCTAGCAGGAACAACTACTATTCCTACTGGCCCGGCGTGTTTCCCGGAGCGGTGCCAGTACTGCTGGCCACATTGCTACCAACGGGAGTGGAGGATCCCAACTCCTACCCCATCATAGGCGGGATCTTCTCTGTCACCTTCTTATTGCGGCACTTGAATTGGTTGTGGCCATATTGACCACAACGAATACAGGCCTGCTGGGTGTACCTGTCTCTCCACATGTCCTCTGTGAGACCCGCTTTCTCCCGTGGAGGAGCATTGGGGTCAACTTGACTCCTTGACCATGATCCTCCACGGCGTCTACCGCTCGCCTTTCCTTTTTTAGCTATGGCAGTGACTACTCCACCCCCTGAAGCTTCTACGTTGCCGGCCTCTGAACCCACTCCCAACTGGAAGTCGTTGTCCAATTCGATGGTGGAACCATCATTGTCGACGAACATGATGTGTCCCTTCACTTTCCAGTTGGGAGGCACTGTCTTTTTCCTGCCATCTGTCGTGGGTGTCTGACCATGCCCTATCTTCACTTCCAGGTCTAAGGCCTTCTTGCTAAACAAGGGAAAGTTGTGCATATTGATGTTGGCCTCACCTGCCAACTGGTTCCTGAGAGGCATTGGAAAGCATCTCAGGTAGGAGGTGAGTAATACCTGGGGGTCATAGCGCACCCCTGGGACACAGATCAGACGCTCTACGACGTCAGTGGCCTCCCTTACTGACTTAAACTGCCTCGTGTGCAGTGTCGGGATCGCGTCAGTGGCCTTTTGGGCCTCCTGAGGATCATGCCACCTATCTTCCACCATCTTGAGAAAGTCCTCCAGTTTCTGGTGGGCTGCCCAAGCGTGGAAGTCATGACCGTATCCCTGTAACTGCACTAAACCACTCAACCATCTTGCACTACCCTCTAGATAGGATGCAACCACAAGCACTTCCTCGTGTGGCAAGGTAAGTTTGCACTTGGCATAGACCGGCACTGCCCACAACCAAGTGTCGAGGTCTTCGCCCCTCTTATCCCCTGTGAAGGGTTTAGGAGCAGCGATAGCCGTCTTTGGGACCCACCGGCTTTGTCCCGGTCCCTGCATCACTTCGAGCTGTGGACCCTGTAGTGCAGGCTGCTGCACTGACTGCTAGGGTTGTGTACCCTGCGGCTGTGCAGGCTGCAAGACAGCAGGTTGCCCGCTCACGGCAATCTGAGACGGAGGTTGGGAGAACACTGTCTGTACAGGAACCTGCAAACTAGGATCTGCTGAGAACCCGCCTGTCAAAGGCATACCTAGGGAAACGGGTTGGACCAATGTTGGGGATGTATATGGGGATACCCCAGTCACCGGTGGGACAAAAGGAGGAGGATGTACAACAGGCCAGGCACCGGGCCCGGACGGTGATGGTGCCGCCTGCACTCGCCTGACTAACACAGCCAGACTCTGCTGGATGTCGTGTAAGATCTCCATCGGTTGATCTTGCATCTCTACTACACTTAGCAAGACCGACCGTATGGTCCTCACATCATCCTCCATCTCTGCAGGGTCCATCTCCTCTAACTCACTAACGTCCGCTTACCTCCGCTGCATCCTGGATCTTCTTCTAGTCATTCTTTCTTTTTCTGCCTTAATCTCTCCCAATGCCTGCTGTAAATGTGCCTTGCGATCAGCAGCTCGCTGTATGGCGACCTCCTCGGGAGTCATCAATAAGGGTTGGCTTGCCATTACGCCAGTGGACTGACTCAAGGTCTGTGCGATCGTTGACCCTACAGATCCTGAACTACCAGCCAAAGAAATCTGCTGCCCAGCAGTGGCCATGACTACTGAAGTAGCGGCCTCGCTTACGAATGCCCTGCTTGCCTCTGCGGCCCTAGCTCTTCTCTGCTGCTGCTGCCTCTCTCTCCGCTGGCGGAACAAGTGTCTTCCGCCCTCTGGTCCTAATGCCAAATGGGCAATCGGGCGTCTAGCTGATCGCAAGAGCCGGTCATCCGGTTGTGGAACCTCCCTGTCGCTCATAGACTACAACATTGTACGGTGTCTGCACTAGGACACTCTTGATGCCTACCGCAACATGCTATACAGGCTGATTAAGTAATCGGTGGCTATGTCAGAGACTAAACATTTGGGTCCAACAGGTAAGTTCAGATTCCTACAAATGAAATTATTTTGACTTTGACTAGTTCGCAAACAGAAAGCACAATGAACAGAATACAGTCCTAAATATGTTGTCTGTCAGATGTTAATGGTTGTACATCTAACTAATCAAAATAAAAATAGAATCACTTGTTGGGTCTGTTCGCAGAATGGAACCTTGCCCAAACTTATCATCTGGAATCTACCCCTCCCTCAGTTCTTCTTGAATGCCTCTGGTCGTCAACGTCCCTGAGCGATCCAGATAGCATGCGTGTCTGAAGGTGTACACACGGCCCACCTCTGTGCCCCGAGTCCTGCTGAGCTGGCCAGCCCCGCACCTTGTTCATCCTTGCGTGCAGCGAGCCTTACACCGACCGATTAGCTGATCAGGAGGCATTTTTATGGACGGCCCTAGAAGTCCTCAGGAATTCTTTAACGTCGCAGACAGGACGACGATCACAGCCAATGGAAGGTACCCCGCCGGCGCTTATTTATAGACGCCCGGTCTCGTCTGTCCCCTAGGGCTGGCCTGCCCTTCAGAACCCCTCTACAGCGCAGCAAGCAGACCAAGAACTATGCAGCAAAGCATGTGTGCTCTACTCCTGGTGGGTTGGCATGGTGACCGTGACCCAGTGCTTCGTCCAAGGCCCTTCAGATAGCAACGCCCTCTCCTTCCAGATGCTCCACGTGAAGGCTGACGACTCTCAAGTTTGAGCGCACACGACTCCTCACATGAGAGGACTCTCAAGGCAGAACACACATCCTCACGGTAAGAAGTGTCGAAGAGGGTAGATAAGGTTAGGTGCAACGTACCTCAAAATAGCTGCCCCCAACCACAGATATTCTCACCAGATGACCCAATGTTGATTGTGACGACCAATCGCTGCTTCGGTACAACCAGCATTGCCCAGCCATTCCACCTCAGCACCAATCACACATCAGATAGTTCTGATCACACTGTGAACACCCAGTATCACACCACATAGCCTCCCTGGCGATCCCCTCTCCACCTGGGTCGCCCTCTTATCTTCGCCCTCCTCACTACACACGTCCCACGACACGGTCGCTCACCGCACACACCGCGTGCATGTACCACATTAGGCAGAAGATAAGCGCCAGATTAGCGCACCGAACCACAGCTCCGATACCAAATTGCAAGGAAGATGAAATAGCGAACTTCAGCAATCAAACAGCATCATACACATGAGACCAGATAGTCGTGACCTCGAACCAAAGTAGAATTGCAACACAAGTTTCACCAAATAAGAACACACCAAGAGCTCATAATTGACAATGCTGGAACAGTCTCATCATCATCAACAAAGAACCAATGTCAGTATCCTATCTGGCGCTCGGCGCCCAGACTACGAATGGCAGATCCTATCTAGCCTACTCTACAATGTCGCTGATGACGTCAACAGCTTCACCGAAGTACGAGCAGATCAAGCACCAGGTATGTCTCTCGTACCACTCACAACCTTGTTCCCCAACTCACAGATGCCGCATGCACCCAAGGACCACCATGCGCCCCATCCAGCATACAGCAGCGCAGCTCGGCTATGGCTGCCTGCTCCTTCCAGCTCGCCCGTGAGCGCGTGAACCTGGCAGGCGATAGCGCAGCAGCGCTTGCGCACAAAGCAGCCAGTGCCTGAATGTCTCCAGCGTGGGCTGGCCCTTTCCTATATGGAAATGGCCAGCCTGCGTGTGTGCAGCCTGGCTGCGCTGGGCCTCTGCCCAGAAGTTTCCGGTAGGCCCAGGGAGGCTGAGCCTCAGACCAAACGAATTGGCCCAGGGCCACCGACAGTTACCTGTGCCCAACTGCCCACAGCCTGAGTTGGGCCTATGCTGTGAATCTCGCCCAGGGCCTGACTCAGATGCATTTGATAAAGGAGGCCAGGGCCTGGGCGCTTCCAACCAACTGGCGCTGCGCAACTGCCTGAAGTTTCCCCAGTTGCGAAGTAGTCCAAAATAGGTCTCTTAGGGTCTGTCGGGCCTGCCTTCACTTAGGGCAGCCGACGCTGTTGCAAATAGGGGCCCAGTAGGGCTTATCGAGGCCTTGTGCCTCGCACAGTGGACGGGGACCACTTGCCCGGGCAGGCCAAAAATGAATTAAATTTTAAAAATAAAAATAAAAATAAAATATTTTGTAATTTATTTTTTACTTGGCAAAGAATTTACATGTGATCCTGACACAAAGGTTGTTTAGTTTATTTTTCTGCACAGCATAGTTTTTCCCCAGATTTTCTTGGATTTTGTTTCGTTTTTTTCCCCTTTACAGGGACCTTCGCTGGCCCTTGCCCGGCCAGGCCGCCCTGCGCTGGTAGTTGTATATATTTGTAATTTTAAATATTTACTCAAAAGCAGGGTTGTCAGACCGCCTACGACCGATGCCGACTGTAGACCGCCAGCTCGCCTACCAGTTGAACTGACCCGTAGGCCGACTGGTCGGCAGTCTGTAGAGGGCCATCCACTTTTTTTTTCCAAATCTGAGTTCAGGGCTGTACTGTGTTTGCTGAGTATAGCCCAAATTCGCTGAGAAACTTTTGGGGAGGGG